GCTTCAACAAAAATGAAACAAACAGAGAGATAGTACAGAGAGTTGGGTAACCTGGACTAGGTCTCTGGAACCAAATACGTTCCCCTGAACATCTGCCTCCAGGAGTGATCCTTGAACACAGAGCCAGTGATAAGCTTTGAATAGTGTATGGTGTGCCTCCCTCTCCAACTTAAAAAAAGAAATAAACAATCATATTCTAAAAATTAAAAAAGTATGTAAAATTTCACGCCAAAATTAACATTCTTTGGCCTTTGTGACTTCTAAAACACAATATGTTCTGTACTATGGCTAAAATGAGTTATGATTTCAATTAACATCCTGTGCTGAGACCCTACCTACACAGAAACTCTGGACTCGAAGCTAGCTGTAAAATACATTTATTTGAAAAAAAGAAAAAACACTTTAATTCTCTCTCTTTTTTTTCTTATATCTAGGACTGGTTCAAGTTTAACTGAACTCTTAAACGTGACATGTTTTTAAATGTAATAGTGTGCTATTACACTTTTAGGGTGCTGCGTGGAATTTGTCACCACTTTGAGTTCTTCTCTGACTAGTTCAGTAATCAAAATACACTACACAAATGAGAAAAAGAAAATTAGATATAATATCCCATATATGGGAAATTGTAAGAATAAGATATATATGTGTTATTGATCTTGTGATGAGGAATTTGATGTAACAAGGAGAGAAAATGAGGAAATTTTACTTAACATAAAGGGGTTGACTTAATATTTCTCCTTAGATATAGTTTCTCAGATAAAAAGGTCTTGTACCCATAATATAAGATATTATTCTAGATCATAAAAGAGAAAGCAATGATTGATTCCTCTATTTAGAACATGGTCTTGATTTAAACAGATATGAGTTCTTTCTAAGCCTCTAGAACCTTTAATGTTTTTGTTTTGTTTCTTTGCTTTTATTGGGGGGGGGGGGTTGGGAGGAAAGGGGGCTTTTAGGGCAGGCACACCCAGCAGTGTTTATTTCTTAATCCTGGGTCTATACTCAGGATCACCTGACTAGGCTCAGGAAACCATTTGAGATGCCACAAATCTAAACAGAGTTGGCACAGAGCAAGACTAATGCCCTACTCACTGTATTATCATGCATAGGAATTTCATGGTTCTTAATTTAAAATAATATGTATTCCTAATTGAATGCAACAGTTTCTCCCAAGACCCACATAGATTGATGGATCTTGAGTTTCCTAAACCAGGGTGAAACTTACTGGAAAAAAAGTTAGAGCAAATTGAGTAAAAGCCTATCTGAGTCTTTTGGGGGTCTTATCCCACAATTAATATCCTTAACACAATGTGAAGACATTCACTCATCTATGAAAATTACTGAAAAATACCTTAAGAGTTAATATAACAAAATTTTATTCTTATTTTGTACATGTTAAAAATCATAGAACAATAAATTTCTACCTTTAATGACAAATATTTTCAATTTAATTTTCTATTCATATACAAATGACTAATCTGGAAAAAGCAATTTCCAGTAAAATATAAGGCATTATTAGCTTCTGAGGAAAATATTCTACTGATGTATAAATTTGTTAGCATGATGTTATTCATTTGGACAGGTGCTTGTATAGTCAGCCTTTCCTGAGATGGAACACGCACTCAGTGAAGAGGGTTCATTGGATTACTTGGATATCTGATAGCCAAAAGAGTGACATTATTGGTGACCTCTGACCTAAAAAGAAAGCATGCTGTTGCAATAAATCATGCACAGAGAAATTTATCTTTCTATGTGAATAACCAGAAATGATTTTTGTTTCCCCATGAGCAAAATATTACAGATACGTGTATGACTTTACAAAGTCAGCTGTGCTTGATTATATTTGCCTCTATAGAAAATCTTCAAGTGATCATCAGTTAGAAAAATTAGTTGATGGTGTTACTGCAAAAAATTGCCTATGCTATCTCATCATCTTTTACTGAGATATAGAGATTTTAGTGTGGGTTAATCTATGACTCCCACTTAGAAAAATCTGTATGTATCTTGCTTTGTTTGAGGATGGATGAACTGTATAATCAAGAAAGAAATGGATATATTTCCTTGATTTGGCTCAGAATTGCAGAATTTGGGTTCTGTCTATTCCATTTTTCATGAAGTAAAATATAAGTAGCATGACATTTTATTGCCATTTGAGGAAGCATAACACTATTACCTTTTAGTTTAATTTATCAGCTCAACCAATTCTACTATTGGATTCCAGAATCTCTCTATCTTTCTTTTATTATTGTGATTGACTACAGAAATCCAAGAATAGACATGTAAGCGTACACACATAGACATGTAAACAAACAAAACCACTATTCTAAATAACAGTTTAAAGATTTTCTTTTTCACTTAGAAACATTTGTTGGTTTTTATATTCAAATTAACTCTTAATAGGCATAAGACAATATCTCTTTAAGATGATAATAAATCATCGTTATTTTACTTTATTGGTTTTATTTACATTTATATAAACACCTATCACTTTCATAACCTTAATTATTTGGAAGAAGTGGTAGGAAATAGAATGAAATTAGCAGGAGAGAATTTCTGATTTTTTTTCCCCAAAAACTATGCCCCTAGTCTAACACACAGAAGTGACTAGAAAAGGATTTTACTAACTCTGCTCTGGTTGTCTCTAAACACCAAATTAGGGGAAAAGAACGAGTACAAAGGAACATTCTATAGAAATTAGAGTGATCAGCTAGAGACCAAACTGCCCTGAATGGCCCTAGGGTGCTAGTTCTCATTTCATTCTGTAATTGTATAATATTTATTTCAAGAATTGAGTTGTATGTGATCTTTCCCTGGAAAGCTGGATCCCTTTACCTAAAATCAGGCTTCTACTCATTTTCACCCTTTTATGGTCAACTGTCATGGCAGACCTTCAGTAGATAGAGCTTTGGGGAGTCTCCTTCAGCTAAAGATGAGGGCAACTGGGGATATCTGCTTCATTGTGGGTTACTGACTTTATTGTGGCTAAGAGTGTTGGTAACAACAAAGTCTGCAATGGAGACGTTACTGGGCCCGCTTGAGCAAATCGCTCGAGCAAGAGTGTTGGTATTATTGATCTGCAGAAGAAAGGAGAACTTGGGGCATTTCTATCAGCTGTCCTGTGGGTTGGTATTTTTGCTGGAGAGAGAAGAGAGGTTTGACCTATTTGCCTAAATGTTTGCTATCTTTTTGAGCAGAGCAAGGTTTCTCTGTGCCCAGGAGACCACGTTCTGTCCCTATCAGATTGTTTATTCTGTATCTTTAAAGCAGAGCAAAGCATATAAATTTTCAGCTGGAGAGGAGTTATCTTGTCCTTTAGCAGACATTTGTTAATCCCTAAAGAAATGTCCCTAATCATGACTGGTCCATGACTAAACAGTGGAATAGACAGTAACATAAAAGGAGAATCAAGGAGGCTGATTAGAATGCTGTCTCAGACTGTAACAGTGTGACATAAGAAATATATTTCTCATAAATATTGGTGTTAATTTACAGTTCCTGCTTCAATGGTACCTAAACAATCAGGCACTTATAAATGTCAAAAATTGATAAAGGGTCTCTGGTTATGCTCATGAAGTGATTTTTGAGAAAACGCTTGAAAATAGGGCTGGTTATCAAGAGAACCAAATATATGATTGGAAGATTGAAACTCACAGCCCCTAACCCCACACATCCTATGGGATGCTGGAGAGTCAGTTCATTAACTGATGACCCATGGATTAGCCAGTTATGCCTGGGTAATGGAGCCTTCATAATATTTCTCTCTATAAAATTCACTGAATTTGAGGAAAGTATTGCAGAAACCCATAATATGTAGTCAGATTAGCTAGAGAACAGTTAAGAGTTTTCTTAAGTGAATTGAAATGGAGGGTGGTCATAATGATTGTGCCTATAACAGGTTCTTATCTCCTGTTTTAAAACCATGTTGATTTCTCAGAATTCAGATGACACCACTGTGGTGTCATATAATTGCCTTATGTTGGGAAATCTTTCAGCTTCAATTGGAACTGAGTTTAGGAACGTCCTCAAAATGGGGAAAATGAAGGAAGGAAATCTATTTCTTAACAGGTAAATGAAAGCCTGTAACTATCTTTTCTGAAGCTATTTAGGATTTTCCTGTTTGGTCTTTATTTTAGACTTCTGGAAAAATTACAAAATGCAAATTGAAATTTGCAAATGAAGAATTTAAAATGTGTATAGTAATTATCATCATCTTAGACCATCTGTGGAATAAAGTTTTGATAAATAAATAAGTAAACCTCGTTAGCATTTTTCTAAGAAAAACATGATATTTAAGATTAAGTCGCTTTTCAGAGGTAGTAATCATATTTGTAAACTTTAATCTCAAATTTAGTCATATCCAAATCAACCACTTCATTTTCTAAGCCTTAGCAATATATATGTATACTGAATCTGGCATCAAGTTGAATATTTTTGTTAAAACCTGATATTTAGAAAAAATGAAGCATCTAACTTACTTTATGAAATACATCCTATTTATGTGCAGTAATTATTAGTTAAATGCAGTGCCACATTCTGATTATAAACATAGCTTAGAGTCAATATTTCTGGGATGATTTCCTACTGAATGACTGTTACAGTTCATTTCATAAATTCTTAATTTAATTTGTAAAAGTTAAATCTTCAAAAATTAAAATGACATTATTATTGAGGAATCTTAATCTGTATTGAGAGTAATTGAAATAAAACATAATTATAGTTTGGAATCAATTTTAGCCCGAAGATGGTAACAACATCTCTCCATTGATATGTTTTTATGCTTTCTCAAATGACTCTAATTTTGAGTAACTCCAATTTTCTCCTTACTCTAATGAATAAGTGATTAATTTAGAAAATGTTAAGAAGGCTGTTTCCTCTGTGACACATCTAACCTAGTTAGATATGAAAATTTAGAGTTCCTAATAGAATGACAAAGTAGAGATGATACTTAAGGTTTAAATTTTGTTTAAAATATTTCAAATGATATATTTTACCCTTTCTAGAAATGCACAAAGAGAAAGCTGATAAGCAGGAGAAACATGAAAAGAAAATACAGACTAAAGGTAAAATTTCATTTTGTGTTTATTCTTATTTAAAATTTTATTTTTATATTAATATATAAGAAAAGATAATGTTCTTGTTTAGTGCTCTTTAACATTTTTGATAGAATTTATATGATTACCTTTACTTCTTAGTTAATTAAATTTAAATATAGAAACATTTAATGATTGAAATCATTTAGAACTTCTAGTAAAGTAAAGTAAAGTAAAGGCCCTCCCGTTGATCATTGATTTGCTCGAGCGGGCCCAGTAACGTCTCCATTGGAGACTTTGTTGTTACTGTGTCTGGCATATCGAATACTCTCGGTAGCTTGCCAGGCTCTCCGAGAGGGGCGGAGGAATCGAACTAGGGTCGGCCATGTTGGCCGCTTGTAAGGCGAACGCCCTACCCGCTGTGCTATCGCTCCAGCTAGAACTTCTAGATGTATAATAATTTTACAGTTGTCATTTACTTAAAAGAATAACTCCACAAACACATCCTTTGGCTCACTGGTAAACTTAAAAATTCTTTTAATAGGGGCTGGAGCAATAGCACAGAGAGTAAGGTGTTTGCCTTGTCCGCAGCTGACCCGGGTTCATTCCCAGCATCCCATATGGTCCCCCAAGCACTGCCAGGAGTAATTCCTGAGCACATGAGTCAGGAGTAACCCCTGTGCATTGCCGGTGTGACCCCAAAACAAAAACAAAAACAAAAAATTCTTTTAATAAACTACTGTAATATTTCTGAGCTCAATTGTTTTTGACCTTGACGTTTTTATACATAAATGACTCTTCAATATTCGGCATGCAGTCAAATTGCAAAAAATGCATTGTCAAACTGCAAATAACATGTTCTTACTGGTTTTTTTCCCCCCTCAGCTTTGAGTGGTAGACAGATCGATTAAGATGATAATTAATACTCATTTCAATTGAACTTAATTTTCTTATGTCAAATTTGCTTTAGAGATATATCAGTAATGAATAGTATTGTATTACCAATCTTGCAAACATTGGGTTTTGGGGTAGAGCAGTTATAGAAATCTAAATAAAGTAAAATTATAGGAAATAAACACTTTCAAAAGAAGATATTTTAAAAGGAATCAGCTTTCAGTAAAGCCTTCTATCACAAATTTAATTGCTCCAGGGCAAAAATTTTTTCTTAAAAATCTCAAAATTATATTCGTAAAATTGACAAATTGAAAAGATTTTTCTAAAATAAAATGGAGTGGTGGTGTCCAAATTGAGTAAAGTACCTGCTGTAATTACCAGGTTGCAAATAGTGAGACTTTCAAATATAGAAATTCTAAATTAACTTTCAATTATAGCAATATTTTAATTTATATTATAATGCCTAAAACAGTATTGGGCTGGAGTTATTACAGTAGTGAAGGCACTTGACTTCTACACAGCAAACAAGGGTTCTCCAAGCACTCCCAGGAGTAATTCCTCAGTACAAAGCCATAAAACCTTACAACAGTACAGTATAGACCAAACTGTTCTTCCGAAAAAAAATTAAATATATATAATATATATTTAATTTTTAGAAATTATATCTCTAATTCTAATATTTGAGCTTTTTCCAGTTTGGTCAGTCAGTCCTTATAGAATAAATAGACTGACTGTTACTCACTAAAACCTATTTATATTTTAATAGAAAATTAATGTCTTCATACTGTTTGCATTCTCTTTTTTGGTTTTTAATTCCTGGGTAAGAGAAATTAGACAGAGCTCTTGGGTACAGATTGACTAAGATAGCCATGGTATAATTGGCTATGTGTATCTATCTGCTAGTGGTTAAATTTAAACTAAACTGCTTCCATAAGATTATGATTTCTGTTGTTTTATTTTGCAGACTGTACTATTAATTTAATAGTGGTGCTGAGGGAGTGTATGTGGTTATGCAGATGGCCCCATTTGCATTTTGGACCTGACTCTATTAGAATCCTGCTGTTAAAGACTTTAAGCAGTGGGCTGTAGATTGAGTTTATTAAAACTAGTGAATCTTGCATAATTAAAACAGTGAGATTGGCTGAAGTTTGAAATAAATTCATCAAAGGCTGGCAAAGAGATTATTACCTAAAAGTGTTTTCTGAACTGACCTCTACATTTTAGGAGAGTATTTCTCAAGAAAGGAAAAATGAAGCTTCAGGGGTGGAAAAAAAAATGAACCACAGAAATAGTTTTGAACCAAAATTTCCCGGTGTATGAAAACAATATTTAATTTTATAGTTCAGCTTTCTATACCTCTGCAGAATGATGTTTGGTTTTCATTTCAAGTAGTTTAGTAAAAGCAAATTTGTTATTTTGATTACTCATATATTCAGATAAATATTTCCTCTGTATGCCTCATTTCATATCAGTTATGTTTACAAATATTGGATAATTATATGCTTAAAATTTTATCAAAGCATTATGAAAACTCTTAAGAAAAGATAAAAGATCCAAGGTAATAAACAATACAAAGACAAATCATCAAGTTATCTGAGTCTCAAGAGATCCATTATGCTAAAGCTTAATATTGTTACAATGGAAGATGGAAGTCAAATTATATACTGTTGTCTCCTTTTTCACTACTGATAACATATGATATTTAACAATTTGTATTATCCTAAGTTTTTTTAGATAACATCCTCATTAACTAGAATAAAAAAAGAATAACTATATTTCAGAAACATGTATTTCCAAAATTATTGCATATAAATTTATTAATAGAGTAATTTTTCAAGTATACAAGAATTAGCACTGTAGCACTGTCACTGCAGCACTGTCCTCCCGATGTTCATTGATTTGCTTTAGCAGGCACCAGTAATGTTTCCGTTGCGAGACTTGTTACTGTTTTTGGCATATCGAATTTGTCATGGGGATCTTGCCAGGCTCTGCCATGCGGACAGGATACTCTCAGTAGCTTGCAGGCTCTCCAAGAGGGACAGAGGAATCGAACCAGGGTCAGCCATGTGCAAGGCAAATGCCCTACCCACTGTGCTATTGCTCCAGAATTAGTAAATTTTAATTCTAATATATTTACAGAAGATTAAGTAGGTAATTTTATAGCCATTTACATTCTCTAAGTGGTTTTAATTCTTGAGACCAAGGTCTCTATTGTTTCAATGGTATTCCTTTATTTGTTTTATTTAATATTTTTATTAAGAAAATTAAGAATTTTCATAGAATTATAGGTTAAATCCTTTAGTTACTAGTCTGGCAGTGAGTATTTTAGTCTGAAGGTATAAATTTTTACATGCTAGAAATTGTTTCTCTTTCAATTAATTCTGTGTTTAATTGATTTCACATAAGTTGAAGTAATTTAATTCATAAATATGATCAGATTATATTCATGGAGTTTTATACCGACTATAACATTACAGTAAAACATAACATTTACTGACAAGGAAATTCAAAACTATAATTTATGGTCTTCTGGATAATCAAGATATTACTGTTGTCCACTTTTAAAAGTGGACCTTTGTGGGCAAATACAGTGAGTTCACTTTACCAGATAAATTCTGAGAATGGAACAATTTTCTTCAGAGAAGTTTGATTGGAGGATTCTAGTTTCTTATGTCATAAAGTTAAGTTGTAACAGGTGATTATATTAATAAGAATAATCTTTCAGACTACACAGATTCATATTTTTGTGGTATGTGTCCACAATGAAATCTACATAGCGACAGTAAAGGATGAACTTTTGAGTTAAAAAAAATTATTGAAACTGGCAATAGGGAACTCTCCTGGCAAGTAAAATAAATCAAAAGAAGAAAGACAAGTACCACATGATACCACTTATATACCATATGTGAAGAAGAAAAAGCAAGTAAATAGGTAGTGTCTAATGAAAGTGTACCCTTAGCTTCTGAAAACAAAATAGTGACCCATAGTGGGAAGTGGTGTGGATAGAAAGGGTCCTATGAACTGTAATATAGAGATATTAGCATTTTGTGGTGGGTGTGATGTGGTGACATTGCACCAATAAAGCATATAAACATCTATATGCGTTAAAACTTGTATTATTAAAATAAATTAAGAATCAAAAATAAAAGAGTCATATTTCAGAATGTATTTCTATATATCCTAAAAATAACTTATAATCTTAAGATGTAGTTGAATAAAGCAATTTAGAGTCCTAGCCCTATAGTATTTCAAGATGAATGAATGACTCAGTGCATCAGCCTCCTCCATCAGCCTGTGCATACTTCATAGGTAAAAACAACTGCATGCATCAATCAATGCCTTTAAAAAAATGAATAATAGTCTCTGGTGACTTTTTTTACAAATCAAAATCCTAATAATGATTATTAATATCATTTCCCTGAGGCTGGGAAAATGTCTCAAGGGCTTCACCTCTGGGAGTCCTGGGCTCAAACCTGGCACTGAATAGACCTTTGAGCACAATGGAGTAACCCCAGAGAAACTCTGAGTATTCCCCAGCCAACAAAAATATAAAATAATAGTAATTCCCTTGCCTTAATTAGTCACTATTATGTAAAATTTAATTGGTCAGCAGCAATTACTTTCATAGTGAATTCACATTACATTAAAACTACCTGTATCATACAATTAAAGTAGCACTGTAGCACTGTCCTCCCATTGTTCATTGATTTGCTTGAGCAGGCCCAGTAACATCTCCATCATGAGACTTGTTGTTACTGTGTTTGGCAAACTGAATACATCATGGGTAGCTTGCCAGGCTTTGCCATGTCGGCAAGATACTCTCAGTAGCTTGCTGGGCTCTCAGAGTGGGTTGGAGGAATCAAACCTGGCTGAGCCAGACCAGCTGTGCACAAGGCAAATGCCCTACCTCTGTGCTATCACTCCAACCCATAATTAAAATAACCACAATAAAATTTATGATATAATAGAATAGATTAAAGTAATATAGACTCATTTAGACAACCTGGAAAATGCAAATTAAGAATAAAAACAAATGGGGAGAGAGCCATAGTACAGTGGGAGGGCATTTGCCTTGTATGCTGCTGACCTAGATGTTATCCCTGGCATCCTATATGGTCCCCCAACCCTGCCAGGAG